GGCAGTGGGGAGCGACCCGCCTGGTCTCACCAGCAGGCACAACACCAGCCACGTGCACGGCCCCCCAGAGTCCAGCACCTCTGCCCGGACCGGGCAGCGGGGCTCCAGAGGCCTGGAACAATGGCTACACGATGAGCCTAGGGACCCAGCCCAGGGCCCCCGGAGGTCCCCAGGCCGCGAGCCTCACACTTTCCCCGGTGAGGAAGGCAGAAGCCACGCTGCACCAAGAAAATGGCACCGCGTTGGGGTGTAAAGTGGGCGGGCGGCGTGGGTGCCAGGGCGTGCCCCGTGCCACACGTGTCCCAGGCAGGGCCGGTGCCTGGCCAGCACACAGACCACTGCTTTTGTGAAAAAGAGCGGAGGAGGTGTGTATGGTCCCCGGAATGGAAGCGACACGTGAATGCAAGTGTAGGTACCAAGACCCACCTCAGGGGAGGGACAAAAGCTCTCTCCAGCTCACGGCTGTTGTCATCGAGCTGGCACGCCAGCCCGCGCCCCTGGGACGAGGACTGGTCTCTATTCAGGCAGAGGTGGCCATTCGGCATTGTGGGGGCTCTGGGGTGAAAGGCTGTTTGTGGGAGAATCATACGTACCTATTACAAAGCCACCCAGGGGGAGATTTGGATGTGTCTAGGGGGGAACTCTGGGGTCGAAGCCCATCTGGACTGCGCCTCTGAAGTCCTGGGTCCGGAGGGTACCCTCGGCTGAAGCAGGGCGCGAGGCGGCCACACGGGCCTGGCTGATGGCGGAGCCAGGGGCAGGAGGTGTCAGCGCACACACACGCCGTGCTGGCCGAAAGCACAAGCCTGGCACGTTGTGTGCGTGCACCGCGCCTGGACAGCTCCCGGCTGCCACGCTGGGCACGAGGCGGGCCGCGTGTGGGGCGGACGCAGGGGGATATGTGCCGTAGGAGAGGGGACACAACAGGAGATGTTCACGTGCACACACAGCTCCAAGGTTCAGAGCCCGGTTACGGTGCAGGGAGCCACGGGAGCAGGAAAGCTCCGGAGAGCAACGCGGTGAGCCCCATCACAGGGCGCCGGCTGCGCAGACACGGGGCGCCCGGGACGGTCCACCACCGCCCAAACACGCCCGCCACACACACACACACGCACACACACGCACACACACACACACGCAGACGGACGAGCCTGAGGATGCTCGCCAGTTCTGGGCCGAGCCTGGGGGAGAAGCCGGCGGGGCGAGCGCCGGGGCAGGCTGGGTCCCCGGCGGGCTGGCCGTCAGTCCCGGGGCCGCGCTGCCCTCGCCTGGGCTTCGGGTGCCCGTCGGCGCCTTTTCCATTTGCTCTTGTGGTTCTTGGCTGCTCTCTGGGTGTCTGTCTGGGCTCGGGGTGTCTGTCTTCCTCTCCCTGCCCCTCGCTCTGTATTATATGACCACAAAGGAACCCAGCCAGCCCCAGGAGCGGGTACGAATTCAAGTGCGCATTGCAGATGCGGGGTCGCTGGGGATAGAGCCCATCCGCCTGGCTGGTCTCTACATGTGTATGGGACGATGGTACATTTTCATTTCTGTGTAAAAATCTAAGCACGGCCTTGACATTTTGTTTCCTTTCGGTCTCTTGGCTGCGGTCTCTTTGGGCGTCTGTGTCTGTCCGTTTCTTCCGGGGACCTGACCCTTTCCTCGTGGCACCGCATGAGAGCAGGCGCCCTGGGACCGCGCCCCCATTTGGGCGATCCTCGCTCCCCCCAATAGTGCCTTCTTTGACGTTTGCCTCAGGTGGGCAAGTGGGCAGAGGTGTTTTTGAGACAGAGATAGCTGGATAGCCTCACTGCCAGCGGAACCTGGAGAAGGAGGCCTTAGAACCTTGACTGAGATGCAAGTGTCTCCAGGGACATGAAACCAGCTTCGGAGCGTCACACAGAGATCCACCGGGGGCCGGAGGCCCCTGCCCAGCACAGTGGGGGGAAGGATGTAGGTGAGGCTCTGAAATCCCAGCCTCTGGTTGGCAGCCACCAAGGGCCACCCAAGGGTCATCCCGCCAGGCAGGGGAAGAGGTGCCCAATGCAGTAGGGCAGGTCCTGGGAACAGCATGACGGAGAAGCCGTGAGGGCTGCGAAGGCCCCGCTCCCCGTGGCCCCTGGTGAGTGAGGCCTGAGGATGGGGATGGGGACAGGGAGGGGGCTGTGACCCGCCTGAGACGACAGGCCCACGGAGGCGGAGGCGGAGGCGGAGGTGGCCTGGAGGCCGGGCTGCCGCGCTCACGCCGCCCCCTGCACGGGAGCAGACTCCTGTCCCCTCCAGACCCGACCCTTTGCGCCTCTCGCCGTGTGAGTCCGCCCCTCTGTCTGCGGCTTCTCTGCTCCTCGAGCTGCGGGCCTGTCCCCCACCTCTGTTGCTGCGGCTCAGCTTTCCTGGCTTCATCCGTCTCTGTTCTCAGGTCTCTGTCTCTCCAGCCCCCTCCCCCGCCCCCC